CTGTAAAGGCCTTAAGTTATGTCCTCTAGAACTGAGGTTCTAAGCTGTATTAGGGCATAGTTTAACTACAGTAGGAAAAGTTTTAGCAAGTTTTGGGAGTTTAAGGGATAATTAAACTAAGAAATGGTAAGTTTATACAGCAGTAGAACTTTCTATGAAGGATTTAAACGTATTTTAATTTATTAAAATATAGTTACGCAGTTTAAATTTATCGAAATTTTATAAATTTTTTAGAAAAATTAGTTGAAAATTCCGTGCAATATAAATTTTGTTATTATCTTCTTGTATAAAAACGTCACTTAGGAATAGAAAGTAAGTCAAAATAAGATCGAATCTTTTCAACTCAGCTTTAAATATTTAATAAGTAAACATGGTTTTTTATATATTGAAACTACATAAAAAATGCAATTTATAAAATTGCTTTACAGTTATAAATATTTAAAAGGATTTGATATAAGATAGAAAATTTTATAAATATATAAAATGTTTGAAAGTTTTTTCTTTTTTTTTTGTAAAAATTGCATTGAATGAAATGACAAAAATTCCACGAGAAGAAGACGAATCTTTGATTGAAGTTATAATAAAAATAACTTTTGTAATAGTAAAAAATCAGTATAGAATCTACCAGCCTGGTACCTTAAAAACTGCCAGCTTCTAAGCTGATTTTTACTATAAAAATGCTCTGTACGTCCTTAAAGTGGTAGCTTAAGGTCTCTACCTTAAGGACGTCCAACGTCGTTTCCCATTCATCACCAGTCACAAAGGCCTGCAAGGTTTTTCTGGAACCCGTCTACTACGTGGTATTCTTTAGATTATAGCAAATAAGATGTACAGTACGGTACATAGGCTCATATATTAATAAGTAAATAAATTTCATAAAAAATTACTGTATATTGCTGTCATAATTTATATAAAACATAAAATTAACTGTATTAGCTTTTTACACAACTATACAGTCCTTTCCGTGTAAAACTTTGCATCTGTACGATACAAGGGGTGATACGGAGTGGTTTCTCTAATTTACATGTTTAATACGAGTATTTATCCATAAGTTTTTAATATTTACACAGTTTTTGTTGAAATACATTTTCCTTTTGAAATAATTGGGCTGCAATTTTCAAAAATTGTAGACCTATAAATTTCTATTGGCACTGCCTGTCTGTCTGTCCTTCGTTTATCTCCAAAACAGAGTTAGTTAGATGAAAATACAGACAAGATATGGAAAGCTTAGAAGAAGGAGACCGATTAACTATACATCAAATTCCAGTTTGGACCGGAAGTTACGTTATTTCAATTCAAAAATTCTCTACCGAATGGAGTTAGATGATCGGCGCGACTCTACTGTTAACAGGAAAAGTATGATGTACAGGGGGGCAAGACACTAGTAAATTCGGAAGCGGCGTGTTAAAAATTGCAGCCTGGCAATGTAACGATGTCGGTAAATAACCACCCGTTTTTATTGATTTTACGTCAGTAGTACAATCACAGGGTGTTTCCAAGTAGCAATGGCATAATCGGTTTCACGTAAAGTGAGCTACGCTATTTGTGGAGAATGTAGAAATATGGTTTCCCAAACTAATAACGCTGCTTTTGCACCGAAAAATTCTATTTTATAATTTTAATTCTAGAATGGTAGAAACTATCTGGAGTGACGACAAAGAATGCCGGAAAAGTTCAATAACCACGTCGCCAGCCGTTTTAAATATCGAAAGAGCAAAGGGCATTGTTATTGAAAATCTGTCATCAGTACGTTACTACACTGTTCGTGCAAAATATATTACTACTACTCAATCGATGTGTCTTTACATAATTTCTTACAATGTTTTTATTAAAAATTGACATTTTTGCTAGGAATATTTCCTGTCACGTGTAATTTTTATAAGATAAACTTCGAGTGTGCAATGATTTTGTGAAGTATATTTCTTGTCGTGCAAAATTATTTTGAGACGTGTATTACTTGACAGGTGATATTATATTATGACACTTGTTATCATACACAATGATAGGGCAGCAATTTTATAAATAAAATATCTTAAGTATGAATTCATTAATAGTTGAGCAAGTACGAAAGAGCAAGTAATTTACTTTATTTATTAAATATAAGTCCTTCGTATTTACTGAACAATTGAATTATAAGTAAGTACGAACAAATGAGTGCTAAGCAATTCACTTAAAAATCATTTGCGTTTTTTTGTAAAGCTATTATTACTCCACTGTTATATTTACTCAACAATTGTTCGGTAAAAATGAATAGTTAATTCTGAATTAAATGAGTAAATTGGAGAATATTTAATAAATCAAATAATTAAATTATTACTGGATTGTTATTAATAATTGTTGAGTGTATATTAAAACTTGGATTAAAAAAAACTATTTATCTATTAAAAAAAATCTATCAACGAGTTGCGTAACTTTCCTGGCCCTCACCGCCTTAATATCTCTTGAATTAATGGTCCGATTTTGTTGAAAATTTCTAGAAATATCTCCCCCTAATACACAAACATTCATGCAAAATTTCAGAAAGTTTCGACAAAGGCAACCAGAGTTATTAAGCTACAAAGATGGTGAACAAAATCGTGCACCCTTCCCATACACATAGTAACGCCCATACGTATAGAAAAAACACCAACTTTGTTTTGTTTTTTAATTTCTCCAGTTTCTAGGTCCCAAATTCATAAATGTAAAAATCTTGGGAGGTCATTTTTTGGCCCGTCGTCATACTTTCCCTATGTTATATAACAGCCGGGAAAGTAAAATGTTACTGTTAACTGATTGTAATTTGATGAACAATATGAACAGTTAAGTAGTAATTTACTTGATTCGGCAAGTATCAAGTCTTCACGTTTACTTAACATGGTGAATTGAGGTGTGTGAATGACAATTATTGCGTAATAATAATATTTCGCAATGAATTGTTTATTACTGAGTTGCCATTACTTACGTAACGATTCAATTGCTCAATGATTATAAACCTCTATGAAACAATTTAATTGTTTCCGAAGAAATTTCTTTTATTCTGCAAGTATTAAATATATAAAAATGTATTTTTATTAACTATACTTCAAATTGTATAAAAACAAAATCAATATAATTTAAAATACCCGTATAATAGACCAGCGTGCAGCAATATCGATTATTTATGACATTTTTAGTAACGTTTTTCGTAAAATTTGAATGCCGTGTCTAAAAAAACAAAACAAAACAAAACAAAGCATATCAATAATAATCGAATCTTTAATAACGGAAACCTCCCAACAACAATCACCTCTAAACAACGGCCACTTTAAAGAAATTCTTTTTGTTTTTTTAGAAAAAAATGCATACATAATAACCTCCAATTCTTAGTGTTCCCGTCAGTGGTCGTTGTTTAGAGGTTTTCCTGTATTGATAATGAATATATCACGTATTAACAAGTTTCTAATTAAAAATATAATTTACTTAATGAATAAAATATGAGAATGTTGTCATTATAAAATATCATTTGTGATATTTAAATGAATATTTTAATGAAGTCAAAATTCGTTTTTCTTTTTATTGATCGTTCATAATGAGAAACCAAGCCCATAAGAAAATTAAAATTAAAATTACGCTGAAAAAAAAAAATGTTTTTCAACACGACAAATTCGTGTTTTCGTTAATTAATGTTTATCAGTTGACAGGTGAGATACAAATACGTATTCTCTATACATTTTCTGTTACTTTTACAAGGAGAAGTTACATTTATAATAAAGTAAGTGTATAAAATATGTTAAATTTAATAAAATATTAAAGTTTTTGATCTAAATAATATATATATTTACACCCCCCTACACTATAACACTGTTGATTATTCCGTTTTATATGAATTCCATGTTGTACGAGTCACTTAGATTTTACAAATACGTGTGCCGGGCTGTAAACGGCTAACGTATTTGTAAAATCTAAGTGACTCGTACAACATGGAATTCATACAAAACGGAATAATCAACAGTGTTATAGGTGGGTCGACTTGTATTAAATTTACAAAAATACTCTGCACTTTTGGATTAATTAACGTTTTATTGTGCGCGTTATACACGATCTAGAGAAGAGATTTAACGTATTTTTTAATGTAAAAGAAGTTTTTTTCCTTCCTAATCTAAGCTTTTTATATAAATACGGCCCAAAAGTCGGTTAACCGAACTCCGAGTTAGTTAACTGAGTTTTGAACCTAGTGTACTGAACATTCGTAAATATAATAAAAATTGCTTGAAATCAATAAATTTGTACGAAATTTAAAAATTAAAAGTAGAAAATATTAAAATTTATGAATTAATTAGGAATAAAGTAAGCTTACAAAGGTGTAAATTCTTTTGTTAAAAAGCAGAAAGAAAATTTACATACTTCTTAATCCTGAATGGAATGAAAATAATGAATATTAAAAAAAATATATTAAAAAATTTAAGCACACGTTTTTTAGTAAGGAAAACTACTTTAATTTTTTTTTTAATTCCACTCGAGGGTATCTTTCTCATCTTGATAGTTAATTAATTATAAAGGAAAACAGTAGAATAGATTTACTTTCATTTCTATCTTTTAAAAATTTATCCTCTTAAAATCACATATTTTACATCTAAAAACGAGATTAAAAGACATCAATTTTTAATGATTTAACAGAACTTTCTAATGTATTTTCATTTATAAATATAAATTCTGTTCAACCCCTCTCCTGTAGCTGCTGCTGTCTTTATTATTATTATTATTATTATTACTTTTAATTTTCAAAGTTTTGAGATAAAAAGGAAGGAAAATATTATAAAATTTAATTTTTGTATATATTTTTTAATTTTTATATAAATCGACAAAATAAATTTGATTGGTGTCCCCATAGAAACGCAAGATCAACAGTACCATTCGATAACAGGCAACAAACGACGCGACATTCTATGTTTAATACTTAAAATGTCAATGTTAAATTTCTTGGATTAATATTTTTAGAAAATTATATAAGTTTAACATTTAAATTTATAACTCCATTCTATATTTTTTTAAATTTTTCTTACTCGTATTTTCATTCTTTGTGACTTACAAACAGACTTACAAAATGGGGTCGTCAGAAAAGGTACGTTTTTAAGTCGAAAAAAAGAGTGTTTTTTTTAATTAATTTAATAAGTTTTTGACATAATTAAGGTGCCATAATTAATTATTTTGTGATAAATTTTGGTTATTCTTGTAAATATTATCACTTGTAATTACTTGAAAACGTATGCGATTCAATATAATTTCGTATGTTAAAGGATCATTTTTCAAAAGTATTTAATTAACTTCAATAAAAATCTGCTTAAATTAAGTAATTAATTTATTTGGCTTTATTTTAAAACGTTTCCTTTATTCTTTGGAGAAAAATCAATTTTAATTTCTTTTCAGAGTTTCGATTGTAAAAGTAGATATTAGAAGAAATATTAATTTAAATAAAAGTTTTCTTCATTTCTAATTGAGTTTGAATCGAATTGGAATTAAATTGTGATTGATTTCTCCTGTTAATAATCGAATTTCAATCGTAACTGGCTGCTTATAGCTACACTTTGCTTCAGCATTTTGATGCTTGTCAGCAAATTTAAGTGCTTATTTTGTTTAAAAGTAGTCTTTTATCTACTTTGACCTACTTTAATTTTATTGAAAACGAAATTTCGATCTGGTCTCAAAAGTCTATTGACAAAAAAACGTTACACAGCAAGGAGGATGCGTCGAAATCGAATGAAACTTTATTAGTGAGAACGTAAAGACAACGTTCATAAGTAATTACAGTATCAGTCCGTAGATAATTTACTATCAAACAATGGCACAATTTAAAGAAACAATTGTATTGGGCATGGAAAAGCCATGGAAACGTGCAGGCTCGACACGCTACTCTGAGACAGATTTATTTGTCGATCCCTTACACTCGTAGATACCCGAATCTGGTATTCTCGCAAATGCTTGATGGGTTCCGGATGCGGGAAGACCAAGCGAGTGTGGTAACGACGGAAACATTCCTGGTTAATCCTATTTGCTCCAAGCCAAGCATTACCCTTTAGTTCCGCTATGAAGGCAAAACGCGATAGTTCAGAATTTTCTAAACGTACCTTGTGCCGTTAATGTTTAACTTATCACTACCAGGGCTGACCAACTGTCGTACGAAACGCCAGCAATGGGGAAATTATGACGCTCAACACAAGCCATTATCTAACAGAACCAGAAATTGTCGCTAAATTTGTTTGTGCAACGCGATTTGTGGGCTATCTGCCGAGCAGGGATGTCTCCCGGGAGGACTTTCTAAATTGTGTTTAATCCCACTTGGCAGATCGCCCATGCGATTTGTTGCCTTACCCCATTGAGCCATTCCATTCTTTTCACTGGTGTAGATCTAAAGCGATATCACGGGGTATAAAAGAAACAGTTACTTTAAATTCGATCGAATGTAACTTAGTCCCCTAAAAAACGAATTTCGTGAATTTTTACATCCACTGTGAGTGAAAAATTCTACATTGAACCATAAATTAATTATATTTTACAGTATTAAAATTATATTTATTTTACAGTAGAGTATAGAGAAGCCCACGAATCTTCCCACTCACGTGTCATCTGCAAGATTAAAATTATATTCGTGAAACTAATTATCTGTAAAGGAGATCATGCAAATATTTAAATTCTATTATTTTTACCATTAATTATTACTTTACTTTTAACTTTCTTTTGTAATTATCTTCATACTCTCTACTATGATCTTTTGTTGCAATTTATTCCTACTTCTAAACTTTTAATTGTATTTTACTACATACAAATGCCCATTATTCTTGTCTCATGGCTCTTACTTGTCTCATATATGTGACTTCATTACAACTTAATTGTATTTTATGTTGCATTATACTGCTGAATATATCCATATTCTTTTTTTTAATTGTGTTTAATCTCACTAAATTTCGTTTACATAACCTGACAGCAGAATTTTGAAGATTCTTTCATCAAAATGAAAACCAGTAAGGATGAGGTCTGTGATGGAGATGAAAATTAGTTATGAATATTTAAAGTACTCGTTACTTGTCTTTGTATTTCTTATACGAAGACGAATAAACGACAGTATAATAGAATAAGAACTGTAGAAATGAATTTTTATTTACTACAAACTCCTAATCACTCGACCTTATCATTCTCCTTTCGAATGCCAAAAGGGGGACGTCCTCAATTTTCACTTTTAATACAGTCGACCCCCCTAAAACACTGTTGATAATTCCGTTTTATATGAATTCCATGTTGTACGAGTCACTTAGATTTTACAAATACGTGTGCCGAGCTGTGAACGGCTCACATATTTGTAAAATCTAAGTGACTCGTACAACATGGAATTCATATAAAACGGAATTATCAACAGTGTTATAGGGGGTCGACTGTATACATCCATCAGCATCTGTTAAAGCACACTTAATGCCTCCTTTCGAGAGCAATTCGCCCCCATTCATGTTTTCTTCGGATAAGCGTATCCCTTGAAGACGTGAGCAATTTCGTGGATCGTAGAATATAAAAAAGAGCAATTACTTAAATTACTTAAATTAAAATATAATTAAAATTAAGCTTCTCGTATCTGCTCTCGATTTCCCTCTGTCTAACTCTCATCTCCAGATTAAGAAAGGACGGACGGACGGACGGACGGACAGACAGTGGAAATTTGAAAATTGCGGGTCAATAAATTAGTTTTTTTTCTTCTTTTAAAGTAGATAAATATAGTCGAACCTCTAATAACGGCCACCTCCAAACGACGACCATAAAAATGCATACAAAATAAACCACCAAAAACGTTGATGGTCGTCGTTCAGAGGTTTGTCTGTATGTTAAAATTTAATTTATTTAATCTCTAAAACGTAGATTATTATCAATTTAAGTAAGAATGTATCTTGAATTTATAACGAGACTAATTTATGTTGTAAAGATATATATTTACATTCCACTAATAATGCAGAAGAAGAAGAGGAAGGAAATTTTTTTTATTTATTTTTTAAAAAGGGAAGAGGAAAGAAAGCGTTAAAAAATAATAATGCTGAATATTTATAAATCAATATATTTATTGAAGGAAGCAGAAGCTTCATTAATTCTTCTCCAATGCATATTTTTACGTTAATGACTTCATCTCGGTTTGTTTAATAGGAATTATGATAATTTGTACATCATTAACTGATACAATTTTAAACAAATCGATTTTTTATTTTGTTTTATTCTATTTTTCTCATCGTTTTTAACTTAATTCTAATGGAAATTATGAAATATTTCTGTTATCCCTTTACTTATTGTCCATTAAAAATTTACTGTTAAAATTACAATGTTTATAACGTAAACTTTAATTTAATTACATTAAATAATTAAATTTATATTGTTTAGACATAAATTACAAAGTTATTTGTATTGTTTGAACTATATACAATCGAACCTCCCAACGACGACTTCCTCTGAGCGACGGCCATTTTTTTTTTAGAAATGTTTCTTCACGAAATGCGCACGAAATAACCTCCAAATAACGGCCATCTCCGATAAATGTTCTTTATGTTTCCGTCAGTGGCCGTTGTTCGGAGGTTTGAGTTTATATCTATGTAAATAACACATGCAATTTTAAACTGTATTGTTTACTACATCTTTTATGTATTTATACTATTCTATTTGTACATATTTAAGTACTTTTTACTGTTTAAATTGCTTACGTAAAAATATTTTGCACATTAAAAATCTAATAAAAGGTTATTTTATACATTAAATTACAAAATGTTTTAATGCAATACCGTAAGGCCCTACATTGTATATTATTAAGTTGTGCTATTTGAATTATAATACAATAAAACTTGTCTAAAACGGATCCTGTACAAAACGTAAATCTGTGTAAACTTAACGGGTTGCCGTGGAAACAATCTGTCTCGTTTGTCTGTAGAATTGTTATAACCTGTATTTTACGGAAGCGGAAGGAATTTTTAATATCAATTCATAACGTAACCTGTGTAAGAAGAACGTTACAGCAGTTATTAAAACACACTTTAGTGACATTGGGTTTTCCATAGATTTTTTTTTCTATGCACCCGTTTTTAGGTGTTTTCCACACGTCTTTGAAATATTAAACGGAATTTGTCGGTAAGATTTCATTCCGTTTTAGATAGGTTTTACTGTATTTAAATCAAAAAAATAAAAAGAATTCTATTTACCCGCAGCAACCATGATAAATATTTATATATAGAAATATATAAAATATATATTATTTTTGATACAAGGAATTATCTATGATATGAGAGAGGATGCATACAAGAACTTTATTTACATTAAGTTATATGTCAGTAAAGCCATTCTGTGCAACAAAACAAACTTTAATAACGTTGGTTTCCGTACCAGCAGATTTCTGAGTGATTATATTCTCTTGGCAAATAAATATAAGCTCCTAATAACATATTAAAATTTAGTCACGTGAAGAAATAAACTGAGAATTTGAGAGAAAATAAAGAGTTTTATTGTCTTACATCGTTGTTTCTTTCTGTTAAAAAAATCATATTAATAGTGACGAGCAACTTTGTTGTATATCTTGATACAACACGTGGGTGCTGTGTCAAAGGATGCCGTCCGAGGAAATTTGGCCTCTGTTTAAGTGTTAGGCACGAGAACAAACAGGAAAATACGTAGCCAGCTCGTTAGTTAGGTGAGAAGCCACGATAACCCGTGTTCAATGGTTTTATCTACTAAACCATGGTGGGTTAGCTTAAGATCGTAAGCGTAAAGCATACAATGGTTTAAATTATACGACAATGTTTGCAACATGCAGATTGGACCAAATTTTATGATAATACAAAAATTATATTCGAAAATCTGGCATCTTTCATAATCCGGCACTATTCTGGTCCCTAAGTTATATTTTCACAAAATTTGTTGCTATCTGCACGTTGCAGACATTGTAGTGCCGGAATTGTGACAGATTATATTATGACAAATTCTTGATCAAGAACTTATACTTTTTTTAGTTTGTTAATTGTTTAATGCTCTTCAGTGCTATTTTACTGACAGGAGTGCGGGTGTTAATACAACTCAACGTAAAAATTGTCATCCCAATCACTCAGAGGTGTCCAGAGGGATCCAGGTCTAATCCTGGACTCTGGAATATCGCCTTCAACTCATTCCTGCATGTAAACGACATCCTGGCTGGTGGTTGCCGCATCTAGGGCTATGCGGACGACACTATCATTTTAGCTTCTCATAGAAACAGTGGTCGCTTACAGGACATATGTAACAATATTCTCAAAATCATTTACTAGTAGAGCATTGAGCATAGGAAACCCATTAACACGGACAAATGCGAAAGTATAATTGTTGGTAAGGAAAATCCTCTCGTCAGGAAACTGACCATGCATTTAGGAGCACACAGTATAAAGCAGACAAAGGAAATTAAATATTTAGGTGTTATTTTTGACGAGAAGCTTAACTTCACACTCCACATCAAATACATCATAGACAAAACTAAAAAGATGGCCAATGGCCTTGCTAGTATTTCCAGGAAAACTTGGGACCTAGGTCCCAGCGCTACCAAGCTCATTTACAGGGGGCCATTCAATCTGCCCTACTTCATGCCATACAGGTGTAGGGTCACGTGGCCGCCAAAGTACAATACACGTAAACTGTTATCTGTCCAGAGAATTGTCGCTCTCCGCATCTGCAAGGCGTACAGGACTGCACCCACTAGTGTTCTATTGGTAATGTCAGATTTCACCCCTATAGATTTAGAAATTAAGAAAATCATTTGGAAGGAAAACCTCGTCAACACGCCCTGGCGAGATTATAATGACTCACTTGTCAGATGTAGCCAAAATTATGAAGGAAGGTAAGATTCTCTACTCTAGTCTCGCTCTGCTTGACGACATAATATAATTCGGAATAGATAAAAGAACCTTCCTTACTTACGACTATCGTTCCTCTAGTCAGCTTGCCCCAGACGTTTATTTCGATTATCCGAAGGATCACCATGTTTAGAATTTACACTGATGGCTCCAAAATGAATGAAGAGTGAGTGCTGCGTTCGTAGTTTATTGTGATTTAGGCCAAGAGCTTACTCAAGTGTGTTTCAAATTAGGTCCACACTGTTCAATTGCTCAGGTAGAAACATTGCCTACTTATACGACCTACCTGATCCACATTAGGAGTAGACGAGACAAAAAACACTTTGTACACTATCGCATACGCTCCTATAGTAGGGTAGTTTTACATAGGATAGCCTCATTAAACGCGTGCATTTCATATATCACATTCTCGGGAACTTAAATAACAACATTAAAATAGATTTTCAATGGGCCCTGGGTCACGCGGTGATTCCCGGAAACGAGGCCGCTGACCGTCTTGCCAAATCGCCCGCTAAGTCTACAGTCACTAGCATTTTCAGTTATATTCCTACTTTTTAAACTGATATGCACGTGAAAAAGTAAATTACCATTCTATGACAAGACAACTGGGACCATACTACAGGTAGGCTCGTCTACACTTTTATCCTCAGGGTTGATACTATTGCCACTTTTCCACATTTTCCCTCTAGCTTTACCCTCATTCATCTTTTTACAGGCCACGATTGTTTCAAGAACTATCTGCATAGGTTCAACCTTAGTGACAACCCGCACTGCGAATGCGGCTGCATGAGGACCAAACGTCTAGCCACTTAATTTTCCATTGCTATAGGTACAGTACAGTACACTAACATTACGATAGGTTAATGAGAGCGACAATTTTGGAGAAATACAACTGGCCTTGCACACTATGGCAACTCATTCACACAAGTACTGTATAATGTACTGTACGCACCATCGCCTACTTTCATTCCTATCCCACAGCAAAGCCCTCGTGGTCTCTTTCCCCCATGGCAAACACAACACGTAGATTTCCTCGTTCGCATTGTATAGTTCCAGTTAAGGTTAATTGTACAGCTAGTTCTTTTGTATTTTGTCTTTTGTTTCTTTGTAGTTATCGGGTTCTACTTTGCCTATCTTCATTGCTCTTCATGTTGTCTTCAGTCTTCTTATATATAATAATAATATTAAAAAATGACGTCATGGTCTTTTGTCATTGCATGCTCCAGTCTGTCAGTTGTACTTCTTTGTTGTGCTTGTCAGTACTCTTGATTAGTAATAAGTTAACTTTTAAGTTAGCATAACTAGTTTTAAGTTAGTAATAAGTTAAATTTAAGATAGCTGTAAGTTAATTTTAAGTTAGTTAAGTTAAATTTAAGTTGTCAGTATATTCACTGTTTCTCATAGTTGTTTCAATTAGGTTATTCTGCTTCTTACAGGGCTTGCTTGCTTAGTTTCTGTATTATTTTAGTATTAGTTTGAAGCCGTTACTTTAGTTTTAAGTATTCAACTTTACACTGTCTAGTTTTTATGTTACTGTACTACTTATTGATGTATGGTACAATTCGGGTTTTCTTTTAGACCCACAGCCTTTCAGTCTAAAAACTGCACGCCAACATTAATCGTAGAGGGAGTAATAATTACCCTTACGTACACTGTTCAGAGGGATCCTTCCTTTCTCTTCTTGCTATCTCCTCACCTTCCTTCTTCCCTTTCGCTCTCCTCCCTCTCCCTCCGGCTAAACACTTTGTATGGCCGTTGTCTTTCCTTAAAATAAAAATAAAAATTGGATTTAATGCTTCATATTTTGAGCCGTTTAACATTTTTGGATTTACATTAATTACTTTAAGTAATTTTGCTAGTTCAACCCTTATTGCAATTTGTGTACAGTAACTCTTAATATTTTCGTATGGTAATTCTGTAGACTTAACGTTTGAAATAATTTTCATAATTTTTTGCTGTGCGAGCAGCAAGTAGTAATAATATTAGGCAATTACTGATCTTTATTCGTGTTCATGTGCACATAATATATTACATACAATTTTTTCTTTTGTGAATGTTTACAGTACGAGAAGACACCAAAGTCATTAATGGCTTCCCACCCTTACTTCAAATCGGAATTTTGGCAATTCAACGATGAATCGTGGAATTCGAGCACACCCAGAGTATCAGCTTGTTCTTTTCTCATGGGCATTTGTCTTATAGTAATGGGATCCACTACAGTTTACTTCTTCAGGGATCATTTGCCCGTAAGCGACGATCCTTTCCACAATCATCTAAGGATCACGGGCATAATTTTTCTTATGTTTGGCATCCTGGTCATCTTCTGTTCGGTCTTGGTCTGTATACTTACTTGTACGTGCTCTAAAACCGTTAACAATGACGAAGCGAACATCAGCGATAGCCAAATGGACGCCATTTTTACCACTAGCGGCCATCTTCAGAAGGAAATATCGAGCAGCTCTGATCCTTTATCCGAATGCATAATTAATCCCGGTTATTTACCAGACAGTCTCGATGTCTGTCCCCAACAAAATACTGTCACCGACTCCATATTTACGTATTCCGAGTCAGATTCGAGTTACAAGACAGAATATGGATTTAAGTAATGGCGAGTTACGCGGTTACTGGCTGCTAAATTCATTTAATGATAAATACGATAGTTTATCATCCCGAATCGATGAAAAATTTATTAATTTAGCACAAATTACCGTCACGTATATTCGCGTCACACAGTTAATTAACATTGTTAATATTCTAATTCACTTCGTGAAGTTGACGTTCATCATGTTGTTAATATATTGAAGGCAATTTAATTATATTTTTGCATTTTATGTAATACGAAATGAAATATTTAACTGTTAAAAACTATTTTCGATGTAATAAAATGCATTAAAATATAACATTTTGTCGTTTCTTTTGTTAGTATTGTTTAAAAAAGTAAATTTATTACAGTCGAACCTAAAATAACCTCCCAACAACGGCCATTTTCTTAAGAGAGTTTTTTTTGAAATTCGTACAAAATAACCCGCCTACAACGGACATTTTTCACGTTCTCTCAATGGCCGTTGTTCAATGATCTGACTGTATATTTAAGATAAATTTTACATTATAGAAATTAATACATAAATATATTTAACATTTTTAATTTAATTTAAATTTAATAAATAAATAATTATTTTTTTAAAAAAATAAATTTTTCTAAAATTAATAAAATGTTTTTCGAAAATTTTATTATTTTATTTATGTTATTTTTCAAGGAAGTTATTATTTTTTAAATCAATATTGTTGGATTTAAAAAAAAATAAAAAAATAATATAAACAATCTTCAGGCTGTTAGGAAAAAATAGCTGCAGAAGTGAAATTTTCTTTATAAAAACTGTACTTTTGCAGATGATCTTGTGTTTTCTGGACAAATTTATTAACAAAAAATATAAAATTAATTAATATTAAAATTATACAAAGGTGTACACTCCTGTACGTGTAGATAAATGATTTAATTCTTCATAAAAAAATCCAGCAACGAGTTGCGTAACTTTCACGCCAAAGTTGTGTGGCACCATCTGTTACGAGATTTTATAAAAAAGCTTTTTATATATTAATTATTACAAATTGACAAGAAGCTTAATTTTGAGGGTAGAGATTAGTTTTATAAAAAATTGTAAATGTTAATAACGAATAAAATTTTCATTAATTCCATCCGCACTGAACATACAAGTGATTCCTCTCTATCTCCCCATCCCCCTGACCTTTAACCACCAAAATTTAATAGCATCGAGGCTTCTAATACACAGAATTTCTGGAAAAATTTCAGAAATTTTCAACAAAACACGCAGGAGTTATTAAGCTTCAAAGGTGTAAAAAAGATCGTGTTTCCAAATACATACAAACATCCATGCATACAGACAAACCCCAGTGGGAAAGTTATTCTATGGGCAAAAAAGGGTAATTGCCTGAGGCCCTACCATCAAATCAATCTTTTACAAGAAAATATTTCTCTCCAAAAAGTTCCTTGGAAGAAAAATTTGTGAAGGTAACGCTATACCTGGGGCCTCCTAATTCAAAATTTTCTGGGCCTCATAAAGTTATAATGCACCATTGAAACCCTCACTTTTGTTTTGCATTTCTCGATATTTCAAGGTATTCTCGAGTTCGAAAATGTAAAAATCTTGGGAGGGGGAATTTTTTTCGACCGATCGCCTTACTTTCTCTCTGTTATTTATAACAGACAGGAAAGTAAAATAAGAAAATCAAAGAAACTGACTGACAATTTTCGTCATTCTCTTCGTGAAAGATGAGAACATTTGTTATTTTCTACTCCTTTCTAAGCGAGATTATTGGTTCTAGTGCTTAGAATATACAAAAAAAAAAAGATAAAAAAATTTAATTATAATCCTACCACTTGTGCCACATAAAAGATGTTTCGTGAAAGGAAATGGCAACTATTATACTCTTAATCTTAGTTCTATGCACATTTTATCTTGATTTTCCGGATGTACAACTGTAAAAAATAATGTTTTATACGTCACATTTACTTATATACAAGGTATTTTCGTAGAAAATCTTCATTGTTTACGATTTCTATGAAGAGCTTTTATCTAGAAATGCTTTTTTCTCAACGTTTATGAAGGATATAAATAGAATATTCGGTGTCAACTTTCATCGAACTCTTACATAGAACCCAGATATAATTGCTCGCGAATGCTTCTTAAATCATTGTTTAAACTTTAAAGATAGCGTCAAGGTTGAACTTATTAAGTTATATATTTTGTAATATTAAAGTATTTAAATAAGTTTCATTCAAAATCATTACTTTTTATGCAAATTACTTTCGCTTATTCCCTAGCCGATGAAGACTTTTTTCATCTACACAGTTCTTAGGCTAGGGAATAAGTGTTTACGTTATTTATAACGTCACTTTCTGAAAGTTTCGCCATTAAACGAATAAAAAGTCACGCGGAGTCTCATTTAAAGATGAAAAATAAACCAATAGAGAGTGCCAACGTGGGAGATTCACGTAATGTGGTGCTGGAATAGATCGTACGAACACGTGAATCATCATAAAAATGTGTGAATTAGATTTCATACAGCACTAGAATGAGCCATATGGGGTCGTGGTACAGAAATGAGTGAATCAGTATTTGAGATAAGAACTGAATCAAGATCATGTTTTATCTTGACGTGGGAAACCGAAAAGGATTTTCATATAAGCTAAACAAGCTGAAGCCTAGGACCTCACATTTTTACAGTATTAGAGTACAGCATTGGTATTTGTTAGAAGGGCCTGTTGTACGTTATAGATTAGGGCCATAGCAAGTTTAAATTCAACCCCGAATGAAACTATACATAAATATAGTAGAATGTGTGAGCCAAAATTAGAATACAGAGCAGACAATTTCTTTAGAAAGGGCAAATTCGTCCTTGTATAACATTAACAATTAGATTTTCACATTAAATAACATCTAAATCTAGATGTATTGCTATTTTCGTCTCCGTTATACAGAAAAAAATAGCAATTTTTCGAAAACAACTTGTACAAATATTTGTTCGTTTTCAAATGAAAACGTTATTTGTCTGCCAAGTTTGATTCATTTCTAGCAATATTATTGGAAATCCTTACTATAAATTACCTCCATTTATTAATTTTTTAAAAATATATTTACCGAAATTTAAGATAATTCCAAATGTAATCTTCATAAATTACGTTTTCTCATTCTACATTCTTACAAAACAACTTGTACAAATATTTGTTCGTTTTCAANAGGTTTTTTTTTAACTCTTTCCGCCATGTGGGCCTCTTTTTGCAAGCCCATTATGGGTTCGGCCAGGTCTGCAATGGCGCTGTCTGGTTGTGAGGGACAGGGACCGACATATCCGTACGAGCCACCCCCGGAAAAGTTCCTGGGATTTTTCGACCCGTTCGGATTCGAACCCGGGTCCCCCAGAGCAGTAGACTGCCATTTTGACCACTTGGCCATCCAGCCACATCCATGTTAGGTTAGGTTTCTAGACTTTTTCGGACAGCATCTTTAAGTAATAAAAATCTTTCCAGCATGTTTAGTAAGCTATTCCACCTGGTTCTAAAATCTAAAATTAAAGAAAGTTCTTTTTGTAAGAGTAATAGGGATTCCCCACGAAAATAAGGTTAGAATAATACATATTTGCACAATCTTAAGGCATAATGTTAGAATCTTGTAATAAATATTTGTATTTAAATATTTTACACAGTTTTAGAAGTAAAAAATTTATTTAAGGTACAAATTTTAATGTTATTTTGCAATAATATTGCATTAATGTCCTGTCATAATGTGGTGTATTCAAAATTGCTATTAATTTAAAAAATACGTGAAATATTTACGTATTATTATTATTTTTAAATATTAAAAAAGAGATATTTACTTACTCTTTAAGAAAAACGTTGATTGTAAAGATTATAAATCTTTAATTAAAAATCTCAAAAAACGGCAGAGCAAAAATATATAACTAGAGCTTTCTGTACAATTTACAGTGCCTCTCAAACCCAAGAAAGTTTAAATTAAAATTAAACAGAAAATATCTCACATAAAATTAATAATTAAGTATATTGTTCCTTACATTTATCTGTATTTTTTTTTCAATGTTCCTTTAGCCCATTTAAATATCTATAAAAACAATATTCTCTACATAAAAATTTTCAGTATGAATTTTTCATTTACCGAATTACCGGTAAATTTCAAAAATTTACCGGTAAGTTTACCGAATGTTTTTTTGTCAATTTATCGGTTAACCGGTAAATCGGTAAACCGGTATACAATCCCTAGTCACTACTACCTGGCGTGCAGTTTTTAGGCCTCGAGACCGTAGTTCCCCGAAGGGTCTAAAAGAAAACCCGAATGTAGCCAACACCAATAATTGAGTGCCGCCACGTAAAGCTAAATGTAGAAATTAGTAGCTGTTAGTAAGAAAGATTTATTACTACGGATAACTAGATAGAAAAACAGAATACGAGCGCGAACCCTAGTACTAACTTAACTGCTAAAAAGCAAACAGAGCGAAAAAAAAGACTGACGATATGGACGGATCGACGGAAGACAAACAAGCAAGACCCCAATTGTTTTCAGTAAAATACAATTAAAATTCTAAACAACGTCTATCTATTTATTCTGATTTGGGTTATATCACGTACTCGTTTATTACAGTCTCGGAATTACGGAGAAAACCTAAGTATTAATGCATACAGAAATTTTCTGTGAAATTAAACTTCTCCTACGTACTTAATTTTAATCACACAAACGTATCTACATAAGTAAAAACACATAAAATAACTAATTTGTCAATTTTTAAACGCGGGCCATTCGAAAACCTAATTTATTATACAACGTACTTTCGGCTTTCACGGACACCTCTGGCCCGAATTAGTCCGTTAAATCAAAGGTTTACTGTAGTTTTAAATAATTACTTATTTTTCATTTTGTGGTAGAAATGCGTATACGCGCGGGGTTTAGACGAGGAACGTTCCTAAACCGTTAAGACAATAAATTTACGAGGGGTGGCGGGGGAGACGAGGAGAACGAGAGAGAGGAACGAGTAAGGGGAGAAGTGAGGGAGACGACAGCGAAAGTAAGAAAGAACAAAAAGTCGTTACGAAGGCCAGAATATTATCGTTTTATCGAGACGGTTACCAACGCTGGATTATTGTCATTTCTAGTTCTCTATCTCGATCACTGTTCCTACATACATGGCGCTACATCCGACAGCAGAAAATTGTATGTAGGCAGAAATTAATTAATATATAGGAATTAAATTAATATTTGGAGACGGTAT